CTACATATTTTTGACAAATTGACAATTGGATAATGGATAACAATGCGTTGATACTAGAAAAGAGAGAGAGAAAAGGCTCTGAAAGAGAGGGTGGGACAACATTCTTGAGGGTAACACCCAAGTATGAGAAGAAAGTTGATTTTAACTAGTATGAAACACAGTAATCTAGCTCAGAACTTAAAAACATCAAAAACAAAGCAAACACACAGGTATTAATATTCCTATAACTATTTTAATATCAAATGTGTGTGAAACAGTGTGTATGTGTGTGTGTGTGTGTGTGTGAGTGAGTGACAGAGACAGACAGGTCAATTCCCACAACTAACTTTACATTATTTCCACTCGACGTCACTGGCGCTGCCATTCTGCTCTCATCTGAGGTAAAAAAAATGTCCCGTGGTGCGCGTGCACGGTGCACTCCCCTAATCTGATACTGTGGGCGATATTTTCAGCGCCCCCAAACCATAAAATTTGACGACGCTGATTGGCGAAATATAAACTTTTTTGCATAGCAACCAGGGAACCATTGGCTTAAATTCCAGCACTGTGGGGCTGAGCGAACTGGCGCCCTGAGAAGACAGCCTATTGGCTATACTACTACACCAACATGATAAAAGTAACGAAAGTGAATGCAAATATCATTCTGGTGAGTTCAAAACACTTTTCAAAGTAAAACCATTATTAGCATATAATTAACACAGATTATTTTTCAAAATGATAAATTATAATATATATTAAAAAAACAGACAGACAGGTCGGAGGGAGGGCGGCGCCCCAGCGCCCTCTATGGGCGAGCCGCCCCTGCTCGACGCGTCTGCACGAGCGCGAAGGTGCGCGGCAAAAATGCGTTCGGTGCACAAGACCGACCCCATTTCCTTTAGCTGTGTGCACGGCTTTTTTTGTAGCGGCGCCACGCCCGAGGATGAATGACTTCAAGCCGAATCTGCCCGAGTATGTACGTCGGTCTCACCCATAGACTGTAAGGTCTCACCATACCGGCACACAGTTTGCGTGTCTAAATTGCAAAGTTCATTAAAACCTTTTTTTTGTTAAGGTTGTTTACTGTGTATGATTTTATAATGGAAATCACATTCACTTAGTTGTCTTGCTGTTAATTTTAAATAAACGTAGAGCAAGTAGCTAATCAGACTGTCTGCTCGTTTATTCAAATAGATGAACGTCGCTCTGCAAACGTCATCTCCTTCAGCATTTGAGCTATGTCCGTTGGTGACGCCCCTTTGGAAATGATTTGTCTATGAAGTTTTGGCAGACCATAACTCAGTTACAAACTGAGAATAGTCTGGTTTTAACCAGGCTAATGATCAGGTGCACAAACAACCAATAGAAACTCGGCTGGCATCTTTGCACACACAGTAAAATCTAGCAAAAGGTGCTCTGAGAAGACCAACGTGCAGCCAGACAGTTGTCCAGAGTCGACATTCCTTTTGCTCAAACCCACGAAGAAGCCATATTAGTAGAATGAGCGTGGACTCCAAAGGACAAATTTATTTTTAAAAATATAGTGTATGCTAAATCTATAGCTTCTACAATCCAATGAAACAGTTTAAGAGGTGGCTCGAAAACTGTAAAAGTCTGCACTCTTCCAGTGAGGCAACCTTTTTAAATTAGTGAGAGCTGAAAGCAGTGACTGCTTGTGCACCTTATCTCACTAACTTCCCCTTTGAAATGGGGAAACACAGGGAACAGCAAGGCCTGTGCGCATTTGAGGTGGGCACCCACTGGCCAATAGCCTCCATCTTTTAAACAATGGAATATGAAGCTAAGGCGGTGGCCTACCGTGAGATTTAAAAGCACTACCTGCATTATGGAAATAGCGTTTGGTTGCAAAGTGGTGAGGTGGCCGTATAGAGGGTGTCGGGCGTGGTGCAGGCTTTCTAAGAAGGCAACTTTTAATAGACCCGTCCTCCTTATTTTTGACATTGCTGTTGCATTTAAGCAACGGTAGGACCAAAGAAAGTGTGGCCACGCTCAATTGGTGCTTCAGCGAAGCACTTTTTAAAGTGCATCTTTCACTTTTCACAATCGGGGAGACCAGATACACTTTCACTTTTCACTATCGGGGAGACCAGATAGATTAAGCCACAGTTACGTTGTCCAAACCACCGGGAGAACCATAAAATGCCGGCTGGCTTGGACAGCTTGATGCGTGTTACAGAAAGCGAGGCCATTAATAGTGAGGATCTTCTTCCAGAGAGCGCACGCCCTTTCCTCCAGTTGTTCTCCCGTGTCGACCAGGAGTGGAAAGCAGGGAGGAGGCGTTGCAGGATCTTACAGCCAAGGCCAATGCTTTACAAGAGGCCTGGTGGATAGACACGGAAAAGCGATCCATTTTGCCGGGGAGAACAGGCATAGGAGGGCCGAGCAGCCAACCTTGAGAGGGGTTAGAGTGCCTGGCGATGGAGGACTCGATGGCGGGGGGGCTCCATATCCTTAACGTTTAGACCCGTGAAACCGTGTTTAAGGTCGAACGGGTCTCCCCAGCAATGTTTAATGTGTTTAGCACACATATTGAGGAGAGTGAAAAACTAGGCCCGAGCAGGGTAAAGATGAGGGAGCGTTCATAGGATGCGTCACAGATGAAGGGATGGCACCCTCGCCTTCTTAGCCGTCAAGAAGTCCAGCATCGTCCTCGTCCCCCAGAGCCAGGTGGCGTGCCATTCTGTTGAAGGCACTGATACGTTAATTGAAATAAATACTTTTGTGAGATAAAATAAGGATTTTAAGCATGTTCTTTTGCAGATAATCCATGGAGAAATGCACACAAAATAAGAAAAACTGAAAGAGATTTGCAAATAAAAATATATATTTACAAATGGTTTTTTTATGCCAAAAACACATCTCTGCCTGCTATTTATTTGTAAACCGCTTTCTTTGCATTTGTAAATCCTCTCACGCATTTGTGAATCGGTTAGTCGTGAGTCGTGGCAAAGGCTGTCTACGGAAAACCTGGCCACTCCCTATTAAGTCCTATTGTACAGAATTTTGGTTGTAGTTCCACCAGAGGTCCACTGGGGGCAATAGTCCGAGTGCAAAATGAATGGGAGTCTATGGGGCTAAACGGCTAAATTTGTCTCCTTCACCCAATTGTCATTGAGAAATCTCAGATTTGAATATAAGTTTTGCAAGTCCAACATGGTTTATAGGTCAAAAGTTGAATGAACGAGTACGTCCTTTCGATTTCTTACGGGTTGAGTTGGTGTTGCCCATAACACGCTAGCATTCTGCTTAATGGTCAGTGAAGGACTGATTACGACCAGAGACACCGTAGCATCTGAAGCTGGACCAATGTTAAGGAGGACTGAACTCTCACACATTTTCTAAGCAACTCTAAACAAGCATTTTCTGTGATTGACCCAATTTTAGCAATAACAAAGATAACTGATGGATACTTTATCTATGTTAATACGATATGGTACAACTAGCCTACAGTGCAGTGCAAATAGTAAATATAAGATAAAGTGAGAAGTAATAGTAAATAGTTTAGTTAAGTAAAATAGTAATGAAAAGGCTATATACAATATAGGCTATATATAAAATAAAATGACTATTTTTTTAGTTTTATTGATCAGTAAGAGAAATTAACAGTATAAGTAGCCTAAAAGGTATACAAGACAAGAAATAAAGTAAACGATGCAGACACAGCAGGATACAACGTTAAAATAGCCACAATATAAAGTTATGAAACTTCACTTTGCCGTCAGCTATTAAAACGATTTGCCAGGGAACAAATGATACGATTAATGAGACCAAAGATCGCCCGTTAGATATACACAAGATGAATTATATGCCATGTTTATAAGACGAGACTTCAGAGCCAGCGGCAAATGTCAGAAGCGCTAACCGAAGAAAGGCTGTTCCAGGAGGGCTGCCGAGCACTGAGACCCCGGTAAAGGCTTGGATATTACAACTCCAAAAACATCAGATCAAATTTTTAAATAGGTGCAATCTTTATTAATAAACAAGATTTGAGATTTAAACAACTACATTGTCGACTGAAAAACTATTACATTTCGTGACACAATAACAGTAGTATTTTTAAATTTCGCTGCGTCTTTCGTCCACCTATGTGCGGAAGCACCAGTGACTGAAGGATTGTCGTAAAGCTGCTTTCTGGTCGTACAAAGTGTATGAAGTCATTGACATTTTAAAACACTTTTTAAAGCAAATAAGTGACTCTAAAAAATATAACACCCAGTAATAAGTGATTTCCTTGCATCTTCTTTCGAATACAACATTCAAATTACTTAACAAAAAAATATATCCTGAGAAAAGTGGATTTTTAGGGGTAGTGCCCCACAGACCTCCGTACTCCGCCTGTGAACGCCCTCATATAGACCCAGAGTGGAACTGCAACAGTTCAGAACCCGGAAATTTAATGTGAGTGGTAGTTCTCCCAAGGGGGAACATTATTAAAGATATAAACATTTACTCCAATAAGACACCACCTACTGACAATGATAAACAGGCATTACTTACTCTGCAAACTAAACTTGATGAAATCTATTTTAGAAAAGCGGCTTATATCAGATCCAGGGCTAAATGGATTGAAGAAAGAGAAAGGAGCACTTCGTATTTTTGTCGTTTAGAAAAGAGAAGGCAGGAGAGAAATTCAATCAAAACATTATTGATTCAGGAGCAAGTAATTACAGATTCCGCCTTGATTTGTTTCTAAGAAAATGGTTTCTTTCTACTCTGTATATTCCTCTGCCTTTTACTTTTAAGGATGCCAACTCCTTCTATTCAGCATGTTAAAGATTTCATCCCCTACATAGATTAGGTGTTTGCAGAGTTATGTGATGCTGATTTAACTTTAAACGAGCTGGATAAAGCAGTAGAGTGTTTGTCCTTGAATAAAGCTCTTACCTTACACCCTCTACATTCCTTACCACATAAGGAACATTGCTTTGACTGATGCAGCAGGTGGCGACAGTGTTCATAAAGAGCGAATAGTCATTAAAGAAGAAGAAGAACCGGATGTGCTCAGAATTTACACTTCCTTAACAACGACGGGCTGAAGGACGCTAATGTATAGTGATTTGAGTAAAGTAACGTTAGGTTGTTCATTAATACATTATTCAATTTAATGCTTATAAAAATGACAGACTGCAAACTAATTTTAAGACACCTTTTTGATACTAAGTCTAAGTGGATTATTATCTAAAGTCATTCCGGATTAACAGATAATTTCAACAAATGTCGAAGGTTGTTTTCTTTCGTGGTTTCCAATTAGTTTTGATTGCGATTGTTTTGGCTCAAGCGACTTTTCAAAGCACTGCACAACACCACTCAACCGATTCAACAAACTCTTCGGTTTCATCTGCAGCAGCACAGAATGCCACATTCGCAGCTGTTTTTCCAACTGATGCCACCACCATAGAGCCCATCATAAATCCATCGGGTAAGAGGATGAATATCAATAACATGCCTATTTCACTCCCCGCAAATCAAAATAAATTTTGCCTCTGCATAAATAAAAGTTTTAGTCGTTAAGGACCATTTAAAGGAGTAGTTCACTTTAAAAAACAAAACAAAAACTTTTGCTGATAATTTACTCACCCCCATGTCATCCAAGTGTCCATGGCATGTCTTTCTTTTTTCAGTCGAAATGAAATTAGGGTTTTTGATGAACACATTCCAGGATTTTTCTCCATATAATGGACTTTACTGGTAACCAAATGGTCCAAGGTCCAAAAGACTGTTTCAGTGCAAACTGTGCAAAGGGCTTTAAACGATTCCAGACGATGAATAAGATTCTTATCAAGCGAAATGATCAGTCATTTAAAAAATGAATAACAAAGTTTAAGTTTTATAAGCTCAAATGATCGCCTTGCTCTGTTCTGTGATGCTCATTCGTGACTCTCCTGTTCGAACTCGTTCATCAAAATGAACGAATCTTTTCCCGAGCCAATTTGTTCATTTTGTTAGTTGAATGAACCAAATGACATGAAAAAAAGATTTGTTCATTTTAATAAACAAGTTCGAATAGGAGAGTCACCAACACAGAACAGAGCAAGGTGACCATCTGAGATTATAAAACTTTTATTTTTATTTAATGAGCGATCGTTTCACTTGATAAGACCTTTATTCATCATCTGGAATCGTTTAAAGCCCTTTGCAGCTGCACTGAAACTGTCTTTTGGACCTTGAACCGTTTGTTTCCCATTGAAATCCATTATATGGAGAAAAATCCTGGAATGTTTGCATCAAAAACCTTAATTTCTTTTCGACTGAAGAAAGAATGACATGGATATCTTGGATGACATGGGGATGAGTAAATTATCAGCTAAAGTTTTTTTTTAAAAGTGAACTACTCCTTTAAATGCCATGATCAGACGGACATCCATGTCGTATTCTAATTCTCTGCATTTTCTTTTCCTACAGTGACTGATTCTACACAGAGCATCATTGATGAGACTCCATTGAGCACCGATCTAAGCCCATACCCTTTCACTTTTACTGATAACGCACCCATAATTACTAACCAGTCACGATCAACAACAGCATCAAGTAATGATTTGAGGGCAGAAATTAACTCTTCGTATCCAACAAACTCAACCGACTCATCTGCAACTGCTACACTGAATGGTACTTTCATAGATGGTCGTGCAGTTTTGCCTACTGATGCCACCATAGAGCCCATCACAAGCCCGTTGGGTGAGTCGAAAGAAGCTGAATCGCAATACTATTGTGGATAAATTAACCCTATTTCGAACCATTTTTGCATTGTAACATTATTCTCATCCAAGTTAAGCATTGGAAGAACTTTGGGAAATAAATTAAATACATCAAAATATTACATTGCATTACAGACATTCATCCTAGCAGCCAGTTTATAGGTATATTTTCATTCAATGCTTTGGCAGCATTTCTTATAGATGTGTTTGGCTCAAAGGGTGCTCTTCACACACATTTTACACTTCCATACATTTTAAGAATATATAGTTCTATGATAATTTTCAGTTTTTACTCACTTTCTCCCATCCTATATGAATGGTTGTCAAAATATGCACATGCAGAAAAGTGTGAGCAAAATGTGCCCTATGCAGTTTCTGGTTCCACCAAGCCTGCACTCCAGGGTTAGCAACATAACTAAATAAATAAACTTCTGATGGGAAGTAGTAATCGAGTTTGTTCGTCCACAAGCTTAGATTGGGTTTTGGCATAAATGCAAGTATGCATTTCATGATTCATTTCAGACTCTTGCATCAGGGTCTTTGCACAGTGTCCCCTTAGCTAAGTCAAACAGATTTAAAGTTTGTATTTTAATGTATTATTTATGTTGTATATTTGTCTGTCTTGTATGTGGTGGTAAACTTCCATGGTGCAGAATAAATGCTCCTAAGGCGGACAATAAAAAGGTTACTAAACTAAACATTCCAACAGTATATATCATACAACTTACCCCAGTATTTGACATCAACTTATAAGGGCTGTGATATTATTGCAGCGGTTTGAGTGGGTGCCTTTTGTAGTAAACACATGTGGGTAGTTTGTGTAAACATTCAATAAGTTACAGATGCTGAAGCAAAAATGTTTTCAACCATACCTGGTCTCCCAAAATGTTTAACAAGTATTTTTACAAGTATCTTTAAAATTATGTATACATGTTTAACTATTGCTATTCCACCCTAATCACACTGGTAAGTTCGATGTGTGTTGTCTTTTGCAGGCTGCCTGTGTGATGTCACACCTGACTTCTGTGACATTGGATGCTGTTGTGATGTCATGGACTGTGGTCTCCTGAACCTCAGCTCTGTGTTTAACAACTGTGGCCAGGATGCTGGGTAACGGCTACTGTCTGTCATTTATATGTGTTCACTAACCTTTGAATGTGCTTTAAATCGCAGATGTCTTTATCACATAAAGGTCTGGCTTCTGTCTTGAGAGCTGGCTGATGTTTAGAACACAAATTGATCCAGCACTGGTTACTCTCACTGGAAACCTCCTTTGTGTTCAGAGAGAAGAGGGTAAATCACCATGCATTACTGTATTTTCACCAAAATCTGTGAATTTTCCTGCCTACTACATTCACCAAAATATGCAGTATACCACAGTGCATACAGCATTTTTTCCCCTCATTGATTGTTCTGTTTTATTTGGAAAAACAAAATCACATTGAAATATTTGAAATGTCAATCTTCGCATACAGCAAACTCTTACACAATATTTATAAAAATATATATAAAAAGAGCAGTAATCAGTATTCCATTCTAACACATTTCTAAACATGCCTGCATGACTTTTTCACACAAGCATGTTGTTTCAAAAAGCTTTACTTTTTCTTTATTTTCTTCTCTCTGTGCTTAGAAAAACAGTCAGCTGCTCAGACTTCCTCTGCTCGCTTTCAGCCCAAGTCAATCTATCCATTCTTACTGAGAGAGCTTACGGCCTTCAACAGTCAACCAAACAACTTTTACAAGGTAAACTGTGATCACATGTTGCATATAGCTTTTAATTAGCATTCTGTAGCTTGCATTTAAACACCATGTCATAATTACGGGCCGTAAAAAAGTAAAAATTAGGGGTGTGTCTCTCGTATTTTTCATCTCGGAGTAATTCCCAAAGCCATTTGAATTTATTGACAGGATAGCCCCTTGAGATGTAACATCTCATTTTCAAGGGGGTCCTGAAAACATAAGTAATTTACAACACAGAAAACATAAAACACAACAACATTACAAATCCAAACTACAAAACTAAAAAAAAAGAACACTACAAAAACAAAAGAAAAAAGAAAAAGCTCAACCTGCTTCTCACACTCTTGTGGGCTACTCACACCCGACATAGTTTCAGTAGTTTCATTACAGAATCTCATCATCATACATCATCAACATGGAGCCACGTAGTGAATCTAGTGAATCTTCAAGTGAATCTCAACCGAAAGAAAACAAAATAAAATCAGAAACATAGACAAGTTATTTTAAGAGAAGAGAATAGGCATAACCTAAAACGATTGAAAGAGGTAATAGATCTCAAAGAAACAGGAAGATTATTCCAGTTGGAAGGGGCTTTATACAGTAATGACCTACGTCCAACTACATTAACAGTTTGCGAATGCCTAAGAGAGTAGGGAGATCTATATGGAATCAGCAGTTCATTCAAATAAGAAGGACAAGCAAAATAAACACATTTAAAAATAAACAAAAACCAATGAAATTGTCTTCTGGATTTAGGATGCAACCAATTAAGCAATTCATACATATGGCAATGATGAGTATGATATGGACACCTTAACAAAAATCTGCACAAAGAATTAAAAACAACATTAAGAGGCTTAAGATAACTATCATGGGTATTTTGGTAAACAGTATCAGCAAAATCAATAAGAGGAAATAATAGCTGAGAAACAATTCTTTTCCTGTCTTGAAATGTGAAGCAATTAATTGAGCAATAAAGTAAGCACAGGCAATGATAAGTTCTTTTAGTTATATAATCTATATGGGGCTTGAAAGAGAGTTCTGTGTCGATCCAGAGGCCGAGATATTTAATTGCATTGACTTTCTCAAGAGATAAGCCATCTTCACCAATAATATTCAAATCAAAAGTGTTCGAATGACAGCGACGCGACCCAAACATCATACAGCAAGATTTCCTCTTATTTAATGTAAGCACCATTCTTGAACCAAATTAAAGTCAAGTTGTAAAGAGTTCTGAATTTGTGACAGATCAGAGTTAGAGGTATAAATTACCGTGTCATCAGCATAAAATGCACCGAACAGTTCAAACAAATCTGAGGTAAATCATTAATAAAACTAGAAAAAAGTTCAACAATAACATAATCTGACTGAAAACCTTGAAAAACAACACATTGACGTCTGTTGTGAAGATTAACCATATCAAAGGCCTTTGTCAATGGACGAGAACACATCATTAGTACATTTTAACAGAGCAGTTGTAGTCGAAAAAAATAGGTCTAAAGCCTGACTGAAACGGAGATGAAATGTGAAATGAATTAATAAATGATGATAGTTGATTAAATATTAATTTCTCAAAAAAATTTGCAATAGCACAAATAATAGAAATTGGCCGATTATTGTTGACATCAGATGAGTCTCCACCTTTGAACAGTGGAGTAACTTTTGCACGTTTCCATATAGACGGAATAGAACAAGTAGTCAGTGACAAATTAAATAAATCTGCTAGAGGATACATTGGTACATGCGTGGCATATTTAACAAATTTAGCTTCTAAATCACCAGGACCAGCACTACTATTTGTTTTTAGATCACAGATAACATAGTAGACTTCGACTGGCGTAATCTTCTTAAAAGAAAATGATCTATTAACAGAAATTGAGTTTAATGGTGCAGCAGTATAGGAGTCAGACCACTGAGAATCACATCATAGAGGAAAAATGTTGATTAAAAGCTCGAGAAATAAGTAAAGGATCAGAAATAATTTCATTATTACATTTAATATTTTTTTAATCAAGCTTTTTTTAGTTTTATTTAACAGATTACTCAGCTTCCAAAACTGTTTAGGTTTATGAAAGTTTTGAGAAAGGCGATCTTTGAAATAATTAGCTTTTGCATTACTTGTTTCCAATTTAGATAAGTTCCTCAAATGTCTGTATTTTTCCCAATCAATAGGATCTCTAGATATCCAGTAATTAGCCCATGCTTTATCTCTTTGCTTAAAGAGTTTAACAAGAGTTAGAACTAATCCAAGGTAAATGTCTGCCTTTAACTCTAACCGTTTTCAAAGGGGCGTGTTTATTTATTATGTTCGTAACTTCAGAATGAAAAAAATGTGTTGCGTCCTCAACAAAAGGAAAATTAATTGAAACCTATTCCACTTCATGTCTACTAGATCTTGAACTCTAGTAGGCTCTGACAGAGATTTATACTGCCAAGTAAGTTTTTATCATTAACAGAGGAACAATCCAACCAGTTCTTGTTAAAGTCCCCCAGAATAAACAGTTCATGCTTCTCAAGAGAGTTAATCATTGACAGAATACACATCATAGAGTCAGACGGAGCAGAGGGTGCCGTATAAATATTACCAATAGTTAAATTTTTATTTGCATGAAGAGTAACTTTAACAAAAAGACACTCAAAATTAATAGGAGCTATACTAGAAATAACATGTTCTGAATCTGAAAAGGCAGAAACATAAGGAGGTTCTGTCAGATCGGTACAAAACATAATCCTCAATTTTAATCATATCGTCAGCTATGTTGTTATGTAGCCAGGTTTCTGATATAGTGATGATATTAGGTTTATGAAGAAAAACCCATGCTCTAAGAAGATCTATTTTTGGAACAAGACTCCTAATGTTAATGTGAATAACCTTTAACCCTTTAACAGATTCAATCGTACCAAAAAAGACAAATTCAACCAGCAAAATAATAAACTAAAGAAGAAAAGAAGGGGTGGAGAGAAAAATGCAGCAAATTGAGCAAACACACAAACACTACACATACACACACACACACACAGATGAGAAAAAGAAAAAAATAAGACAAATATGCCCCAGATCATATTATAAAAATAAAAAATAGAAAGCGTTTTTACTCTAAAAGTAGCTTCTTCTTCTTCTTTTTTTTTTTTTTTTTTTTGATGGTTTTACAAGTGTAAATTTTAACAAGAGTAGAGTTCTAACTCTGTCAGAATATTAAAATTGTACCCTATAAAACTAGGTTGTTACAATTTTTTACAGATGTTAATGGGTTTCTACATTTATATCTGCATCCCAGATTCCCAGCTCAATCAAGTGATACTGTCAACCCAAGTTACTATTAAATTCCCAAGAGATAACATGTGTAATATTATTAATAACCCTGTCACCACAGTGCTACCAAATCAGGTGCTGGTACAATCATCTGTAGAGTTTGGCGACAATCTTTGCCACTGTTTCTAAGGCCCTGTTTACACAACAACAATCGTTGGTGAAAAGGTAAAAATATTTGATCAGATGTGCCTTTCGTTTACACGGCGACGCCGTTATTCTTAGTTTTTCTCGTCTAAACGAAGAATAAAAGGTGATAACTGTCACGATTCAAAAGGAGAGGGAGAACTCAAATGCAGTATAAGGATTTATTTAACAAAAGAAAACAAAACACAAAGTAAAAACCCACAAGGGGGGAGAAACATAATTAAAGAAACATGAACAACACTGAATACTCAGAACAACACCAACTAGGACCACACAGACCAAACCAGGAAACATCTGACAATGAACCGACAAAGACTGCAAACAAAAGGAGGCTTATAAAGGGAACAAATCAAGAGGGAACAGGTGGAACAACTCAAACACTAATCAGGTAACGAGGGGGAGGGATCAGACAATGACACGAGCACATGGCCCAAAATAACAAAACACCCATGTGCAACACAAGACAGGACAGGCATGTGACAATAACGCAACACCACTTTTGCGTTTTTTTTCTTCAGAATCATTTCTGTGTAAACATAGCCTAAATGTTAGTCTGCACATCACCAGAGATTAATTAGGCTTGTCACTACACTGAATTGTATTAAATTGAATTAAATTTACAGATTTACCCCATCATCCCTTTACAGAATCCTCCTTCTAAACCTATATATATATATATATATATACACACACACTGAACAAAATTATAAACGCAACACTTTTGTTTTTATCCCCATTTTTCATGAGCTGAACTAAGATCTAAGACTTTTTCTATGTACACAAAAGGCCTATTTCTCTCAAATATTGTTCACAAATCTGTCTAAATCGGTGTTAGTGAGCACTTCTCCTTTGCCGAGATAATCCATCGACCTCACAGGTGTGGCATATCAAGATGCTGATTAGACAGCATGATTATTGCACAGCTGTGCTTTAGTGCCTTCGATCACCATTTGCCTCTCAGTGCAACACATCTCCTTCGCATAGAGTTGATCAGGTTGTTGATTGTGGCCTGTGGAATGTTGGTCCACTCCTCTTCAACGGCTGTGCGAAGTTGCTGGATGTTGGCAGGAACTGGAACAAGTATTTAACAGTGGCATTGCTGGACTTTGTCACAGGCTGATGACATCATCCTGACCTATTATGACCGTACATCCATAGTGAACGCACTTAGACAACCATCACCGGGGCCGGCGTCATCCGCCTGCATCAACCACAATCCTGCAAGTATGGGCAAAAATGTGTAAACATTTGACCTGGTTTTTGCTCTAAATAATATGAATAGTTGTATACTGATTTATGGTTTCTTTTCCAGGGTTCTTGCGTTCAAATTCTCTATCTTGCTCTCGTGCTGTGACGGCACAATCTTGTGCGGATGACAGGAGTTTAAATGCTCTCACTTACTACACTGGCTTTGGACTACTGAGGGTGAGACTAAAGCTCTCTTCTAAAACCTATAGACATACACTAGACCTCACCTTGGCTACGGCAGTTCATTGGAACGAATGCGTCAATAGAGCCGCCATCTTAAAAAAAAGGGGAGCCCCTCCACTTTAATGCATCAGCGTCAATGTAGTAGACACAGGTCTAACGGAAATAAAATCACCATAAATCATCATGAATGCAATTTTTCTTTTTTTTTTTTTTTTTGGTTTGTTCCAACGGTCAGACATGTATTTATCATTGATTCCAGAAAGAAATTTTTATTTTTTTTTAACAACATTCTTCCAGTTCAGATTTCATCCGTGAACATCATACGCTGCACAAAAGTCCGCCACCATCAATGAATTCGAAGTAAAGGTAGAGATAGCAGCGTTACCTAGCTACTTCCTATGACAAGACCCCTGTTCCAAGATGGCGGCGGTTTTGATGCATGCTTAGAACCCCAAGGTGAGGTCTAGTGTATATGTCTATGTCTAAAACCTAGATTGTTGTTTAGGTCAGCATCCCAATAGAAAGGCTGTTCCAACCAGGTAACTTTTGGCACTCTAGCGGTAAATAAACAAAATTACATGCGTCTTGCAGAAGAACATTGTAGCCAGAGCTACTTCTCTCTATTAATGCATATCATGAGTCAATCAGGTACTGGGCTACTGCGCAGCTGCTGGCGTCCTGCTCTGTCTAAAATAGCCAGAATATAAACACATAGGCGTACCGTAGTGATTCAGGATAAGACAAAAACTCAGGATGATGCTTTAGAAGGTAGACTCGTATATAAACATGCAGATATAATTGATTCAGTTATTAATCACTCTTCTTAATAACTGAATGAATTAATATTTTCTACTGTCGATTAATCAATCTCTGTATTAATGCAAGCAAATGGCTAAAACACTGCCTATACAGTCATCAGATGGAGTGTGTGCAATACAGCTTGAGCACTGAATGTTATTTCATTGCATGGACCCTTCATTTGCTTAAAATAATGTAAGCTCAATGTCATTAGTGTTGGAGCTTTTCTCTGTGAGTGAAGTGTTCACTACAAAGTCCTGGATCGTATGTTAAAGTACAACAAGGACTCAGTCCATCCATCAGTTTCTGTCATTCCAATCTGAAATCACACTGCTTTATATCATGATCTGGATGCAAAGTGAGTTTATGAAGAAAGGGCTGTATCTGCATTTTATATACACGTTGTTATTATTATTAACAATAATAAATTAATGGTAAATACAACTGAAATGTATAACAGTGGACTGAAAAATTGATAAATCAAATATATCAAAAATTCTTGACTGTATTTATTTTAAGTATAGTTTAAAGTAGACTGTTTACATGATTTTTGGTCTTCTCTACATGCATTTTGCAGGATTAAATAACAATTAATAGATTCATTTTAGTGTTTTTAGATTTATAATCGATTAATAATAGGTTTAATGGTGGATTATGAATATTCCTTGAAAATAGACATCCCTGGATGCCTATTGTATGCATATTAATTATTAAGCTTTTGTCTTTTAGGTTCCCAGTGCCCAGGTGGAGAACAGTCCAGAGTTTGTTGTGAGTTGCATCAAATTATTTTAATTATCTGTAGTAATATTACAATTTTTTGACCTCAGAATGTTTCCAGACATTTTGTTTGCATTGTCTTAGATCCCAGTTTCTACCGTGAGTGACTGGCCTGAACCGCTTGAGCAAAACGGCTCATGTCTGAATGTGGTATCAAAGGTCCGTGCAGACAGAGGTTTGTGGGGATGCACATATTTTTGTCAGAATGTACGAGTTAAGTCTTTTGTTGTTCTCATAGGTGGAGTATGTGATCGAGTACACAAGCAAAGGAGAGATTGTAAAAGCTACACTGAACACAGAACTGCTGAACACAACTATAGATACACAACTACAGCAAAAGCATGTGATTATATTCCAGGTAACTTTATCTTTTTACAATTGTGGTCATAAGTTTGCATACATCTTGCAGAATCTGTAAATGTTAATAATTAAAATAATAATAATAGGGCTCATAAAAATTGCATGCTGCTTTAATTTAGTAAAATTACCCCATTCAAAAATTTACAAATGCCTGATTCTTAATACAGTTTGTAATTTCCTGGATGATCCATAACTTTTTTTTTTTTTATATTAGTTGTTCATGAGTCCCTTTTGCTTGTCCTGAGCTAAACTGTTCTTCAGAAAACTCATCCTGGTCCTACACATTCTTTGTTTTTGCTGCATTGCATATTTGAACCATTTCCAGCAGGGACTGTATGGTTTTGAGGTCTGTCTTTTCCCTGTAAGGGCAATCGAGAGATTCATACAACAACTATTACAAAAGGTGAAAAAACCTTTTTTAAACAGAATGATCTAATTATCTTGTCTTCAGGGAACCATAATATATATTTTAGAGTCACTAAATGGAAAGAAAAGACCTTTTTACAAAATACTGTTTATAAAAAAAACAAACAAAAAAAACATTTGTACGGGTACTTGGTTCTGTCCATTAGCTGTTGATTGGATTGTGGTAGGAAGGTCAGAATGCAAGCTTCTAGTTGATTGTAAGAAAGCGCTTCCCTGGAGAAGTTTGGCATTTGTCACCAGAGAGAAGTCTGTTGTTTCACTCAGAGGATTGAGATGACATTGATATATTATCAGGTAAAAAAAACAACAACTTTTTTTAACACCTGTTGTTTGAATACCAGTTGGCCACACTCAGCCCCCCCATGGCCACACTCATACCTCCATCACCTCCAGAGGGGCTGAAACCTGAATCACTACTAGTTGGATGGTTTGGTGAAAAATCACAAGCTGTATCCTTTCCACTTTACTGTGAAATTGTTACTGTATCAGATTACACTACTAATTCATCTGAGGTTAAATCAATTAGACTGAGTGTGATTATTTTTGTATAGACCCCTTCAATGTTTTTACACATTGGAATCCTCTGTTGGGTGCGCGCGCAGCATGGGGTCAGAAAAATGGCGCGGCTAATAGACCGGCATGATATTGTGTCAAGTTATGCACTGTCTTTGAGGTCTTCACGGGTCCAAAAACTCATGCCCGACCCGAAAGAGACCCGTAATGTGCTACACCGAACCGACCCGGACCCGTCGTTCATTTCAAAAGTTGGACCCGGACCCGTGCAGACCCGAGAAATGACATAAACGTACTGCCCGGACCCGACCTGGACCCGTCTATTATTTGAAAACTGGACCCGAACCCGGCAGGAAGACACAAACCCGACTGGACCCGATTGTCACATATTATTTCACACGAGTTGCGAAAAATAAAACTTTTTGTCTTACCTAATTTTAGTAGCCGTCATCTCGTTACTGACTGACTGATGCATTAATCCACCGACAAGAAAGTTCTATCCATGTTATTCCAAGCTTAATCCACTCATTATTTCAGCTTTAAAAGTCCACTTGATGTCACGGTGATGGATGACAAATGCAACCTTGCACATGTACATTCTGACTCGAGTTAACTCGCATAATAACTTTAACTGTTTGCCCTTTTGAATAACGATTGTTTGTTGCTTGTTCAGCTTGATCATATCTGTGCTCTCTGCTCTTCATTGAGTCTGAATCTGACCACCAAAACTTTAAGATTAGACAAGACGGTTCATATTATTATAAACATTGGAGAAAATGTAAAGCGTGGTTTGGCGGAAGCTCTGCTTTGGTTGCCACAGAAACATGACACGCGCTTGAGATTGCACTCCGATCGCACGGGTATTACCCTACAAATCGCTAGACGCGTATAATTACGTAGTTTGTGGGCATGTTCAGACGGTTTTATATAGCGATATAAGCGATGACTTTTGTGTGTTAAAAGCGGAGGTTTTACCGAGCCAGCGCCAGGGGAAAAAAGAGCTCTATATACAAAGCCTGGGTCGTGATCAACAAGCGGGAAGGCTAACGTTACATCCATACTGCAAATTGCACCTGCCTGGCAGGGTAACGTTAATTATTTATCATATTGGAGACGGATGCACTGTAGACTGATTGACTTGATGGTTATATTTCCTTAGAAAACTGTCACAACTAGGCTACTAATCACTTACCCAGCATCCGTCACCTTTCCTCCAGGGTCATTATTGCTAAACTAAACTTGTGTCTGTCATTTCACCAATAATCGCTGAAATGTGTGGAAATCGCGTCAGTGCGTGATGGAAAAAAAACCCCATAAAAAACTCATTAAGACACAACACACGGTTAGAACAAGCATGCACAGTGTACATAGCCGATGTAAAAATACATAAAACAAAAATCATAGTAGACATATTAGTATTTATCGTTAGTATTTATCACAAGTTAGTATTTATCGACGCAACAAGTAGGCATGTTGACGAGAAATTCTCCGGTAGCTGGTTTAAACTATGGTTACAGCACGATGGAATTAACTTTTCTGACCCCGACATGCGCACTGCGCACCGCATTTTTTTTCTGTGACGTCAACAACCGTGAAGGGGTCTATAGCACACATTCATTGGCATCGTGTGCTGCCTAGAGTTTGTTGGCGAATGAATGATAGAGAAATTATGTCACAGCGTCTGCTGATATAACGTTTCGAAACTCCTCATGCATCATGTTTCTGCATTAGTAAGCTAGTCAATAGAAGGCATAACTAACTTTACGGAGCAAGGTCCATCTAATGGTGGACCTTGCTCTCCACCATTAGATGCTGGTACATAGTTTTTTTGCTCATTTTGCTGTCCTACTATAATGATTGACCTACAAATGAAATTCATAAAATTCTTGCACTTGTGACTGTGAGTGTTAAACTAGTTGTATTATTTTTGTCAGCATTTCACTATGTAAGTTGTAATCCTCCAGTTACATTTGTGACTTAAAGCTGAAATACACTTTTAAAATCGGAACAGATTTTAAGACACTAGGAGGGGGAGTCTTACTAGGGATGCGCCGATCAGGATTTTTGCAGCCGATACCGAGTACCGATTTCTTGTCATGGTGATCGGCCGATACCGATTCCGATGCTTAATTGACTTAATATAAGACAAATAAACAAAATGGAACAGTTTAATGCAGCCCATAAGGGTTATTTAAACACTATCCAATACCGTGGAGGACAAAATAAACATTTAGTCTCCTAAAACGGAGAAGTCTGATGTAATTTTAACATCGTCCAATACAAGTCTGAGCAGGACAAAATAAAGCTGAGTGAGAGTCAGATTACTAGTTACCGTTTTTTGCAGTTGGCAGTTTTTCATATTCGCCATACGTCTCGCGGTGGCTCATTCTTAAGTGACAAATCAGATTCGTTGTATTAAATGTTTTGTCATAAAATGTTATTATCAGCAGATACCGATCTCCGGCCGATCGATCGGAGCATCCCTAGGTCTTACACTTGCTGTCTTTGCAAGTTAAATGGTTAAACGAGTAAAAACTGCCCATCATACACTAACCAACTGAGGATCACACACTAGCAGACCTTAAGTTGTTGCCAACACAACAAACGCATGCAGAAACATGAGGCTTGTTGCTGGGAAATGCATGACAGGTGAAAACAGTGTGTTCTAAAATATGCTTAATTTCATGGGGAGGTGAACGATAATCTATTCTAATGCAAACCAAATGGTGTCCACATTTCAAGTGCCATGTTTTTTTTTTTTGTTTTTGCGTAATTTTGTTAAGAGATATTGTCAGAGTAAATATTTACACCTCCTGCATAGTACTTGGCTTTTGGGAGGGATTTAATGGATCTCTGTGATGAATATGTAAATTCTTTGACATTTGTTGAAGTTGACAGTTTTGGGGTTGTCCGAGGATGGAGGGTGTTCTGCTGATCTCGGTAATCGGACCCCTGTTCTTTTCAAAAAAAACATTGTAACTGGCTGCACCTTCAGGTATTAGACCAATTTACTACGTCATGACTTTTTACCACTTAAAGCTTGAAGACATGTCAACATATATGATATAACCAACAACATGATGGTTTTATTTTCATTCTTGTCATCTTTTTGATATGTCTAGATCTTTGTCTAGTGACTGTGGCCTGTTGCGGGCAGAGCTTTTGGATATTTTAGCAGGGGTTACAGTGCCTGATACGATCAGTATGACTGCAGGCTCTCAGACAGACCAGACTCGAGTCATTTCACAAGACTGCTCCACACCAGCTACAGTGAGTTACAATACTCTGCTGCATATTGCTTGATGACACGTTTCACACCTACTTGTTTGACAAAGAACACTGTGCATTGTTGAATAATATTTTAAAACAAGTATTTTATATCTGATTGCATAAACCACAGGTGTCAAACTCAGTTCCTGGAGGGCCACAGCCCTACAGAGTTTAGTTCCAACACTGCTTCAACATACACACATGCAGTTTTTTAAATAAGCCTGAAAGACTTGATTAGCTGATCAGGTGTGTTTAATTGGGGTTGAAGCTAAACTCTGCAGTAGTTAATTCCTGAGATGACCCTGTTACAAACTGTTTATGAATCTGGAGGAGTTTTCGGGAAGGTCTGTTTTATGCGCAAATTTCACATATTTCCGAAAGTTTCATGATTGAGGCCCAATATGGTCTCTTTTTGCCAAATTTTGTCAACAAAAATATTACCTGTAAAGCCAGATCAGAACTGTTGCACGTCTTCGAGCAACACACATCAGAATGAACAGATTTCTGAATGAATCCGCATTTTGAACGAATCAATCGGGTAAACCAATCATTCAATGGCCCATTCAAGAGAGCCATTTGTCGTTTGAACAAATCAAATAAATAACTTAATTACTTGCTCATTAGACATTTACAGTACCACTACCTACTGGCAGTTTTAGTTTCTTACTTAGAGCATCACTTCATTAAAATATATATATATATTTTTTCATATTTTGGGAATAGTTTGCCCAAAAATTAATATATTCTATTTATTTACATTGACTCACTGTCATCTTTCAAACCTGTACGATTTTCTTTTACGGAACATAAAATCAGTAGTACTGTCAACATTAATGCATGCGGAACTGCTTAAAATTGGGAGGGAAAAGAATATGTTCATTGAGTAGCTGTATTAGTATCTTCTATACTGGCATTTATTCATAAAAATATGCCATTAAACCAGTATTTAAAATATACTGTGTTAATGCTGACCATTGCTTTTGACTTTAAATATGCTACCCTTGGGATATATTAATTAGAAACATCATCGTGTTAGTTCTCATTTTCCAGTTGATAATACTTACAATATTATCGGGTGGTAAATCTTAAACTTTGGATGTGTTTCTAGCATTGTTCAAGAGGCAGACATACTCTTATGTTTTCTGTCAGTTTAAATCTATTATGAAGATCCATCTCTTTAATTGGGTGGATTGCACCCAGAAACAACCATAACACAGTCCTGTATGGTCAGTTAAGACCCCAACGACTAGACATGCCTTTGGCAGAGATCATAATGGCCAGCTACAGCAAAGCATTATGAAGATCATTGTGCAAACAGATAAGTCAGATTGATTAATTAATTGACACATTGTAAAATTAAGTTATAATTTGATTAAAAAAATATGAATCACTAGACAGCCCTAAAATATCCCAAATATGTTAACAAGCTTTTATGTAAATGTTTCAGGAAGCATGTGAGACGGGTTGTCTCCTGCCCGTGTCGCTATCGTTGCAAGTGCTCTGGGCTCAGAGGGGCCTCAGGGCCCTGCCACAGAACCACATCTTGGGGGCCAAATACATCTTTGGCTGTCAGAGACTGAAGGTAATCATAATGTTATTGTTGAGGTCTGAGATACTGACATGAATTTCATGTGTAATTTTTCAAAAGCACCACTTTATGTAAAGCTTTGTTTTTCCTGCATATAAACATTTAATTTGTACAAATATCTATGTAACGTGTTTTGATTGAGCAGCTGACATTTTGCACACACAGTTAAGAGGTCTTTGGGAAGTTCACATGAATTAGGGTCTTCTTCTTGCTTCTAGTGTCCTCTCCGGTCTTCTGTCCCATTGACCACTGAGGTGATGTTCTCTGATGCCACAGTTTACCCAGAAGCCCCTGGGGGGGAACGTCAACCTAAATGGAAGTTTCCATTTGATTTTTTTTCCAGGGGGGTTGGAGAGTTTGATCAAGAGTAAATAAAAGTTTGGTACCAGCCAATGATGGAAGTTTCTCAGACAATGTTTAAAGAATGTGTAATTTTGGCAGTACCAGTGTGCAACTGGTGTGCAACACGTAAATTTGGTGTGATACTGCTTGTCAATTAAATATCACTCGTAAAGCTTGAAAGATACCACAGTTGTAAATAGTTCCTCATTTTAAATAAAGATGTTTTAGTTTTTCTCTCTCTCTCTCTTTGACTTTTATTAACTTTCACCGTTGAATTATTTTGCATACAGTAATACACTATTTTGATCATTCTTATGAGACACCAACAATCTTCCTTTGATTCCTGTGTTTGTTTTTGTGCACATAGTTAAGCAGATGAACTATGGCTGCTGGGGTGATTCCTGACAGACGGGCTGCAGCTCCCAACTGAAAATCAAAACACAATGAGTTACTAACTAATATAATGGCTGATTTTAAGATCGGACAGTCTGATCACAAGCGGTCAGCTCTTAATGCAGGTATCCGAAACATTTTCTATTCTGATCACTGTAGCCACGCACAACAAATGTATTGTGCAGCTTTAAAAGAAAAGTGCATACGTTCACAGTAGCACCTCATTGGAGTACATGAGACAAAACCAAATCAAAACATTTTACACAAAAACAAATTAAACATTGAATGCTTTAAACGAAATAAAGTTTAAAATGATGAATAAACCAATGCCCCAAGGCTCTTGTGACAACGATGTAGCATACTTCTGTTTGAAATGGTTTATAGTGGCAAACAGTTTCAAATATTACGGTAACACTTTACAATAAGGTTCATTAATTAAAAATTATTAAATGTATTAACTAACATGAACTAACCATGAGCAATACATTTGTTACTGTTTTTGTTAATCTTTGTTAACGTTAGTTAATAGAAATCCAGCTGTTCATTGTTTGTTCATGTTAGTTCACAGTGCTAACTAATGTTAACAAGATTTTAATAAAAAAATTTGAGTTTTGAAATTAACATTAAAAATTATTAACATATGCTGAAGAAGTATTGTTCATTCTTAGTTAATGTTAACTAATGTAGTAACTAATGAACCTTATTGTAAAGTGATACCAATATTAGGTACTTTTATTTTTAAATAGAGGGTATGCGCATGGCGTCACCATCAGCCGGAGTGCCTGCAGTTACTCGCAGTGAGGGGCAAAAAGACTGAGCGGCTGTATTGGTTTTCAGCGTGAATGCCGCGAAAAACAAACACAACACATATAAAGTGGGAAAGAGCTTTGCGATTGACTGTACAACGAAAGGTGGATTTGCTGTTATCATTTTGTGTCAATATGCTGAATTTAGGTGTAAAACCATACCCATATATTTTTTTATTGTTATATACTGTATATTAACAACTCATCAATTACTATTTATCATTGCATATTCTGCATTATTAGATGTTTTTTTAATAAACACTGACCAAAAAAAAAAAAAAAACTATAAAGTTTTAGGGCTGGACGATATGATGACATATATAGGCTATATATAACACTGATATAAGTGATCACCTGGATTTAGACCTACCTATGTTGTATTTATATAAAGGAAAATTTGCTTTAGCCTATGTTTGGGTCTAAATTCCTTTTATTTTCCCAGTGTCGAAATCATTCAAACATAAATGTCAGGCAACACGATTCCTGGCGGCATTTCAATATCCATGGATCATTGGATCTTTAGTAAGTTGTAACACTATATTGTGTCCAATATTTAGTTTAAATTGATAAAATGATTCGTTTTAGTCTCTTTTTCGCAGTTTCCCCTATTAAATCCAGTCATGCAGCAGATCTTTTGCCACTCAATCAGGCTGAGGGGGGTTGTTCCGGTGGGAAAGTGACGTCAGTGCATTCCCTCTATGATAGGTTTGTGGCATGGGGGGCGTGGTTCAGCGGTGTCTTTTTTCTTTTTTTTTTTTTTTTTTTTCAGCGGTGTCTGCAGCGGGAGAGCGAGTGAGGAGCCGAGCGAGAAGTAAGTGGGTCAAGTTCAAACGATGAACACCTGTTTGTGATTTCAGTGATTGGCGGAGGTTGTGAGAGAGATGGAGCTTGTGTGGCTGTGGACGGAGCTGTGTGCAGACAATCCGAATTGATCCGTGACCGTGTCCGAGGAAGCTGTGAACAGCGGGAAGAGTTTGACGTCTGTGAAAGCTGTATGCAGCGTTTGATCTACAGTGTTTGATTGATTTTGTGTTTGATGTTAAGAGCGCTGAGGCACCATGGACTGAGTTATTGATTAAAGCACACAAGCTCCAGTATTCGCCGACCCCTTGTCCTCTTCCATCACCCACACTGAACCACGATTCACTTCATCACACTGGTGCCGAAACCCGGGATGGAAGGAGAGGCCGCCGCCAGAAACCCTCTGTCTTCGCCGTTTGCGGAAATCATCCAGGCTCTTGCGGGACTCCACCAGCAACATCAGGAGGCCCTGTTGAAGATGGAGGAGCAGCAGGAACGACGGTTTGACGCGAGGTCGAGCGGTCGGCCGCGGCTGGGAACTGGCCACAAGCTGACTGGGCTGACCTGATCCCTCTGCTGTCAGGGGAGGCACAGCTCGTAGCTCAACAACTGCCCGTCAGCAGCCTCCCTCCTGGTCTACAAAGACCTCAAGCGCGCCATTCTGCAGAGGGTCCCTTCGTCTTTGCGCAGCAAGTCCGGGACTCCTGCCGCAGATGGCTGATGGCCGAGGGCCGCGACGTCGAGGGAGTCATCGAGCTGGTGGTGCTGGAACAGTTCATTGCCCAAGAAGACCGTGCAGTGGGTCCAGTGCCACCGGCCGACGTCGCTGGACCAGGCCATCCAGTTGGCAGAGGATCAGCTGGTGGCGTGCCCAGGGCTCAGCGAGCCCTTACCATCTTCTTCTCTCCCTCTCTCTCGCCCTGTCCCTGCTCCCAGGTCCCGAGGCGGCGTTCCACCGTGCCCGGTGCCCCGTTGGAGATCTGGACTGGGTGCTGAGCCGGTTCTGGCGCCGTACGCTCCGCCCTGGGGAGGGCCAATGGCTGGGAGCGCCCCTCCAACCCTCTCCTCTCGTCAGCCCCTTGACCCGGGCTGGGCTGGCCTGCTGGCACTGTGGGGACCCGGGCCACTTCATTGATCGGTGTCCTCTTATGGAAGTGGACACCTTGATTCGGGTCCCCTATACGCCACAGGCCGCCCCCGATCAGACTGGGCTGTATCAAATACCTGTAAGTATTAAGGGGGTACGCATCAAGCTTTGGTGGATTCGGGTTGTAACCAGACCTTGATCCATCAAAGTTTGATTCAGCCAGTGGCATTGGATAAGAGCCGCGAGGTTATGGTGCGGTGTGTGCACGGCGAGGTGATGGGGTATCCAGTCGTGCCGGTTTTGATCCAATTTAGGGGACAAAAGCATAGTGTGGAGGTGGGAGTTAATCCGCACCTCTGGCACCCGCTAATTTTGGGAACCAATTGGCCGGGGTTTCGATCTTTATTGGCGTATTTGTGTGCGGGTGCTCCTGGGCAAAAACAAAGGCACCGGAGGAGGGTGACTGTTCAGACCGGCGAAGCTGTGCCGGGACCGTCGGCGGCTGTTTCAGAGGAACCGAGCATGTCCGGAAATAAAATCTTTTCGGACTGTGATGACTTTCCTCTGGAACAGTCCCGAGATGACACGCTGAAAAATGCGTTTGAGCAGGTCCGTGTCATCAACGGACAGCAGGTTCGGCCAGATCAGCTGCTCTCGTATCCCTATTTTGCCATGATTAAGGATAGGTTGTATCGGGTGACCCAGGACACCCAGACAAAGCAAGATACAACTCAGTTATTAGTTCCTAAGAGCCGTCGGGAAATGCTATTCCAGGCGGCTCATTGTAATCCGATGGCTGGGCACCTCAGGTAGGCAGCCACATTAAATCGTCTAATGACCCGACTTTTCTGGCCGGGCATTTATGAGAACGTGCACAGGTGGTGCGCGTCTTGTCAGGAATGTCAGTTGGTGAACCCACCGGCCCATAGTAAAGCACCTTTATGCCCCCTGCCTTTAGTAGAGGTCCCCTTCGAGCGAATTGGTATGGACCTCATTGGGCCATTAGAGCGATCTGCACGGGGACATCGCTTTGCATTATTTCTGGTGGACTATGCAACACGATATCCCGAAGCAGTGCCGCTTCGCAATGTTTCGGCGAAAAGTGTTGCACTGTTTCAGTTAATCTACCGGGTGGGAATCCCGAAAGAGATTCTCACCGATCAGGGCACAGCGTTCATGTCACGCACAATTCGCGAATTGTATGAAATATTGGGCATTAAATCTGTCCGGACCAGCGTCTATCACCCACAAACAGACGCCTTGGTGGAACGATTTAATCGCATGTTAAAAGCCATGATTCGTAAGTTTGTACGGGAGGACGCTAAAAATTGGGATAAGTGGTTAGAACCCCTCTTGTTCGCTGTACCCCTTATCATCACTTAGCTTGTTTGCATAGTGTTTATTGTATAAATGTATACAGAATGAAAACAATATCTCTGTCTGCATAAAGAAATATGCCTCACTGTAAAATCCACGAATAACAGGATGAAGGAGGCTATGGTGGGGTTATTTTAAAATGGTGTCAACACAAAAGTTTTAAAGGTGCAAAACGCAAGTATCTGAGTTTTTGCTACGCCCCCTCTGGCAACAAGCGAAACTGCGTGCGCGCTCATGGAACACACACACATACACGCACGTTTGCATGAGCTGTTCATAACCAAAGGAGCATCAGCCGCACAGTCACACATCTTTTGTTACAGCCATAATGAGGTAATAGTTATAAATCTGCAAATCATTTAAAATATATGAAAGGAAAAGGCATTCGAGTAAATCACACACTTATTTGTGTGTGTGAGGGGGAAACGGTGGTACAATGCCCAGTCTCAGATTCGAGCCCGAATCCCTCTAAAGCCTAGTTCACACTACATGATTTTAAAATGTTGGGCTGAACTGTGCAGTTCACATTACATGACTTGCTCTCAGTGAAATCATGAGTGTTCAAGTTGTTAGCTGTTCACACCACACAACACAACGTGATTGATCCACAACAGGAGGTAACTCACTACACGAGTTAACAACGCACTACATAGAGATACAACCACGATCGGATGATAAGAGCATATCATTTGTGACTCAATGAGAGCTGTTTCAGTACTATAGTACGGTCTAAATCCTGAAAATAATCAAACAAATAACGAGTTGACAACAACACG